CAGGAGCTGCACGCGCACGTGGTGCTGCCCGAGCCCGCCGCGCGCGGTGAGCATGCGCGCGAAGGAGAGTGCGCACGCGCGGGAGGGCTCGCAGGCAGGCAGGCAGGCAGGCAGGCAGGCAGGCAGGCAGGCAGGCACGCCCACCCTGACTCCACCTACGCCTGACACCACTCACCTCCAAAGAAGTGCTACACAGTCATGCCCACACCTGGCATCACTCACCCCCTAGAGAAAGGCATACAGTCACGCCCACGCCTGACACCAGCCAGTCCCACCCACCTGACACCACCCACAGAGATAGCCACAGCATCACCCAGATACGCCAACACGCCAGTGCCAGGACAACGCCCACTGTCAGCAGACACCTGGACAACACCTGAGTACTGTGCTGTCATTGGGTAGTCACATGACTACCCAGAAACTCACGCACAGCCACACCAATACTCAAACATGCACACTGTGTCACATGTTTACCCAGAGCCTTTCACACAGCCGCCAACACCTTTATGACACGCAGAGATTCAATTTTTTTTTTTACAATTTTTTGTAATCTTTAATTGTGATGAAAAGAAAACATACAACACAAAATGGACGATTTTTGGTGTGCAGTCCAGTGGTGTTTGTTTTTTTTTCTTGCAGTACTGGGGTTTGAACTCAGGGCCTACACTTTGAGCCACTCCACCAGCCCTTTTTTTGTGATGGGTGTTTTTGAGATAGGGTCTCACAGAACTATTTGCCCAGGCTGGCTTTGAACTGTGATCCTCCTGATCTCTGCCTCCTGAGTCGCTAGGATTCCAGGCATGAGCCAGTGGCGTGTGCCCTGTCGTGTTGAGTGTGTTCACACGGCTGTGAAAGAGGTCTCTAGAACGTTCATCTTGTGAGTAAAGATGCTCCCAGTCACATGGGCACCTCACTGATACCCAGAGTTATCATGTCACAGCAATACCCAGAGAGACATGCAGTCAACTCCGTCACCGCCTGTACCACAGCCAGAACTGAGAACTTATCCTGTAAGTCCCAGAGACTGTCATGCACAGTCAGGACAAACCCAAAGACATATATACTGCCAGCCAACATCTAGAGAAACACCAGCTCACAGATGACACCTGGAGAGTCCTGCACAATGTCACAGCCCCCTTCCCCAGCCCCCAGCCCTTACAGGCTTACACAGCTTCATCAGGAGCCAGAGCCTCTGCACACAGCTGGACAGGATTCCAGACTATGCACTGCTTACGCAACACCCAGCCTGTTTGTGCTCATAGCATGTCAGCCAGTAGAGTCCTGAACTGTCATGTCAGCACTCAGGTACTTCTGCACCCAGAGTCTCCCCGCTCCAGTCATGTTACTCTTTTTCTTTTTTTGGCAGTACTGGGGTTTAAACTCAGGGCCTCACACTTGCTAGGCAGGCGCTCTCCCACTTGAGCCACTCCACCAGCCTTGTCATACCACTCGTGCAGACCCTTGTGTCTGGCTATAGTAACAGGCAGACGCAAATACAGTTAGCAGCACCTGCAGATCTGTGCTCAGTTCTGTCAACAGATGGACACAGACAACATCAGCCTGACACAGGAATTGCCACAGTGGGTCTAACACCTGCATCTGGCATTGTTACACTAGACCAAGGAGAACACAGCTAACAGTTGGTGGCTCAAGACATAACAACCCCTACTTGTGCAGGCTCACACACAGCTAGGTCACTCTTAGAGCCTGTCACACAGTTGACCCCAAAGACACACCCACCTGGACACTGCCCTGCACTCATTCATGCTGGGTGCTGCCTGCGGTTGGAGTCATTCCTTGGGAGGGACCTTGGGTCTGGTGTCCCCCGCAGCTGGTTCCTCGTCTCCAGGGGCCTGTGCTGGGGCAGCATCCAGGCTGGGCTAAGAGTGGACCCTCTTGGCTGGGGAAAAGGTTGATGGGAGCACTGTGGTGACTCTTTCCCTCTCATTTCCCCAGATGCCCCTCAGTCCCCAGGTGAGGGTGGCCCTGCCTGCTCCGCCACCAACCTAAGCCGTGTGGCAGGCCTGGAGAAGCAGCTAGCCATTGAACTGAAGGTGAAGCAGGGAGCAGAAAACATGATCCAGACCTACAGCAACGGCAGCACCAAGGTGGGGCGACTCACATGCACACCCCCGTGTGTACCTATACCTGCATGTAATCACAACCCTTGTACACATCCGACACACCTGCACACACACCCCAACACATATGCTCATGTGTGCCCTCCCGCCCACGTGTGTCACATGCATACTCCCCTGCATATGTATGCACAGGGTTGCATACCCCCACCAGCAAGGCACACACATACTCATATGAGGTGCACATGCGCATGTGTGCACGCACCCACGTGTACACGCACCTTGTCTCAGTCTACTTTCTGTTGCTGAATGAAGACCAGTGGTAGAGCACTTGACTACATGCATGAGGCCCTGGGTTCAACCCCCAGCGCCACAAAACAAAAGCAAAACTGTCACAGGAAAGGCATTAGAGCAGGGTGCTGGTGGCTCACCACTATAATCCCAGCTACTTGGGAGGCTGAGAGCAGGAGGATCATGGTTCAAGGCTAGCCTGGGCAAATAGTTTGAGAGACCTCATCTCCAAAATAACCAGAGCAAACTGGACTGGAGGTGTGGTTCAAGCGGTAGAGTGTCTTCTTTGCAAGTGCAAACCCCTGAGTTCAAACCCCAGTCCCACCAAACAAAGAGAAAAAGCATTAGTCATTTATTTATTTATTTATCTCTCTATGCATTTGTCTATTGCAAAGTGTAGAATTCAGAATACCAGCTATTACTCACAGTGTTGTGCAACCATTGTCCACCGGCAGGAAACTCCATCCCCATTAGCTGTCCCTACCTGTTCTCCTCTCCTTGTCTCTGGCATGGTAATCTATTTTCTGTCTCTCTAGATTCACCTGCTCTGGATAGCCTATAAAATACAGTATGTGGCATTTGTAGGTGGCCTTGGAGATGTCACCCACTCCCCAGATGTGCTAACAGCTAAGACAGATACAGCACCTTCCAGTTCAGGCTGGGCAGTGGGCCTGGCCGTAGATCACCTCTTTCAGTCTGCAGTCCAGTGCAGACCAGGGTAGTAATAACTACCCTGCAGATGAGGGAACTGAGGCCCAGAGAGGGTGAGTGGCATGCCTGAGGTCACACAGCTTAGTTGTTGGGTGGCAGAGCTAGGGTGTAAACCCTGTGGACTATCACTCATGGCCCTCAGGACCTAGTGGGAGTGTGAGCTGTGGTATCCACACACGGGCCCTGTCACGCAGTCAGCCAGAGCCTGTGCAGTGTGGACAGCGGCACTGAGCTGCCCAGCCTTCCTCTCATGGCCTCCCTCTGCCCCCAGGACCGGAAGCTGCTGCTGACGGCTCAGCAGATGTTGCAGGACAGTAAGACTAAGATTGACATCATTCGAATGCAGCTCCGCCGGGCCCTGCAGGCCGGCCAGCTTGAAAGCCATGCAGCCCCGGATGATGCCCAGGGTGAGTTTGTCGCCCTAGACAGCCTTTCCTGTGCTCTACCCCAGCGCTCGACCTACAGCTCCATAACGAACTCACTGTGTGACTGGGTCTCCTAGCCCTGACCCTTTCTGGGTCTCAGCTTCCCATTTTGTCCCGTGCAAGGTTTGGACTAGATCAGGTGTTGGCAAACCCATCTCCTCAGGCCAACACCACCAGTTGCATTTTTTTTTTTTTTTGTAAGTAAGGTTTTATTGGCACACAGCTGTGACCACTCCTTCACAACTGTTTCAACACCATATCGCCAGAGCTGAGTAGTGCTGGCAGAGTCTGTGTGGGCCACAAAGCTGAAAATATTTACTGTTTGGCTTTTCTTTTATACATTTGTTTGTTTCTTTTTCTCTCTCTCTTTCTTTTTTTTTTTTGGTGCTGGGGCTTGAACTCAGGGCCAGTGGAAAAAAAAGTCTAGGGGAGGGTGTGTGTAGATTGTAAGTGGCAAATATTATGTCTTGAGCACCCCAAGAATTTGGTATCTGGGGCTTCTGGGAGCCCATCCCTTCTGGACATGCTGTGTTCTCGTAACTGTGATTGTGTGTATCCCTGTCAGAGGTAGATGGATATCAGCTGGGTTTTTTTTTTTTTCCGCGATGTGTTTTTTTTTGAGATAGGGTCTTGCAAACTATTTGCTGGGGCTGGCTTTGAACCTCGATCCTCCTGATCTCTGCATCCTCAGTAGCTAGGATTACAGGCATGAGCCACTGTACCCAGCCAGATGTCAGGTGTTGTAGCATGGGTGATGTGAGTCTTGGGACATGTGTCACTGGGCTGTGGCCATCCACATGGGTGCCTCAGTAACTCTCTGTGACTGTGTAAGTGTGTCCTTTTGCCTCTGTCTGTTGTAACCATGGTGACTGTGTGACTTCATTCCCAAAGTCTTATGTGACAGCAGGTCTAATGGCCAGAGTGTGACTGTTTGTCCCTGTGACCCTGTGTCTGTGCTGTTTGTGTCCTGGTAAGTGCCACACACCTGTAGGTACAGTGTGACTGTGAGTGTGACTCTGTGACAAACTGCCATAGTCTGAGTTGGCCCACTGAATAGGACAGTGGGTTGTGTATGACTTTGCACCTGTGAGTGACGGATGTCCCATACCTGTGTGACAGTATGTACTGCCTGTGCTGTTGGGTGGCTGTGTCCTATATTGGGCTGTGATTATGTTCCTGTGCCTTCGCCCTGGTGTGACAGCAGTTTTTCTCCCTGTGGTAGTGGGCACCTGTGAGTACCAGTGATCCCGCCCTGCCTGTGGGGTGTGATGGGTCCCCTTGCGTGTTCTACACCTTATCTATGTGACAGTGTCGTTATCCTTCTGTGATTCTCCTGGAGTTAGAGTCCTGGCACTTTTCCACGGTATGACCCTGTCCTTGGGCATCAGATATCTGTGTCTTGTCAGCATGTACCTCTACCCCAGTAACACTGTCCCTGTACCCAAGGTCTCTGTGTAGTGACAGAGCCTGACTTGTGTGACAATGTCCCTGCATGGCAACAAGTGTTTTCATGACTTGAGTGTGTGTTCCTCTGCCTGCAGGTGACAGGTACCTAGAGGAATAACAATGTAGTAATGTCACTGTGTCCCTGTGATCAACAGTGTGACGATACCTGTTAATAGCATGTATCTTAGTCAGCTTGGGCTGCTGTGACAAAGTGCGACAAACTAAGCAGCTTAAGCAACAGAAATGTATTTTCTCAGCTGGGCACAGTGGCTTATTTCTATAATCCTGGCTACTCGGGAGGCACAGATAGAAGGATTGAGGTCTGAGGTCAGCCCTCGGAAATAAAGTTAAAAAATAGAGCTGGGGGCTGGCGGTGTGACTCAAGTGGTACACTGCTTGCCTAGCAAGCATGATGCCCTGAGTTCAAACCCCAGTCCCTCCCTCCTTCCTACAAAAAGGAAAGTTGGGCACTGGTGGCTCACATATGTAGTCCTAGCTACTCAAGAGGCAGAGATCAGGAGGATCGAGGTTCAAAACCAACACAGGCAAATAGTTCTTGAAACCCTATCTGGAAAATACCTAACACAAAAAAGAGCTGGTGGAGTGGCTTAAATGGTAGAGCACCTGCTTAGCAATCGTGAGGCCCTGAGTTTAAGCCCTAGTACAGCGAGAAAAAGTATTTCCTCACAGTTCTGGCAGCTGAAGTCTGAGATCATGTGGCAGCATGGCTGGGTACTGCTTGCAGATGGCTGCTTTCTTTCTAGAGAGCCAAAGGGGAGAGGGGATACCAGCACACACTGGCAAGCTCTCTGCTGTCTCTTGCTGTTTGTTGTGGCTGTTTTTTTGTGCTGGGGATGGACTCCTGGCCTTCTGCCTTCTGGGCAAGTGCTGTACCACCAAGCTATGCGCCAGTCTTGGTTAGGACACTAATCCCATCTTGAGGGACTCCATGACCTCATCTGAACCTAATCACTTCCCAGTGGCCCCTTCTCCAAATGCCACACCATTGGGGTTAGCTTGTGCTTGTGAATGGGAGGGGGGAGGGAAACACAACATTCAGAATCCTACAATGATTCTGTGACTCCAGTACCATCTGTGTGGCAATGTGGTGATGTTCCTGTGGAGGACTGAAGGCCCATGGCGGTCCTGTGCCTGGACACGGATGTGACTGGAGGGTGACTGAACTGTGGGTAGTGAAGCATATCAGTGTGTTGTAACAGTATGATTTATGTCCCTACCCCTGCGGGTGACAGTTCCTGGATGACAGTGATTGAATGTAAATAAAATGTCACTCTTCTTGTGGATTACAGCATGCCTGTGTGTCCCTATGCTAATCCTTGGCAATGACAAGGGACCATTACAATGTGTCCCTAAGCCTCATTGATAGTCTGGTGTTTGATAAAAGTGACTGAAGCCAGGTTCGGTGTTGGCCTACTGTAATCCCAGCAGTGCCAGGTGGAGGCAGGAGAATCGCAAGATCAAGGCCAGTCTGGTGGCCTGGGGGCTGCTGCCCCGCCTCACTGCCCGTGGCGCATGTCTGCAGGGGGTCCGGACCTGGGAGCAGTGGAGCTGCGCATCGAGGAGCTGCGACACCACTTCCGAGTGGAGCATGCCGTGGCGGAGGGCGCCAAGAATGTGCTGCGTCTACTCAGCGCAGCCAAGACCCCCGACCGCAAGGCGGTCAGCGAGGTGAGGGGCGGGGCTCCGGGAGGGGCGGGGCTTCACCAGAGTGAGGGGTGGAACCTCAGCCCGATCGAGATCCACTTCTGTTAGGGAAGGGCCTCAACAAGAAAGGGGAGGGGCCTTGGCAGGAATGTATTTTGGTAAGGGATGGAGCCTGAGCTTGGAGTTTCTGAAAGGGGATGGGTGTTTGCCAGGAATAGGCCCTGGTGAGGGGTGGAGGGCTGTTATGGGCGGAGCTTCAACAAAGTAAGAGGAGGAGCCTCGGAGGTTGGTTTTTGGTGTATTTTGGCAAGGGGCGGGGCTTCAGTGAGCATCTAGGCTGGACGTGAGGGGCGGGGCCTCCATGAGGTGGGGCATTAGCGAGGAGTGGAGTCAGCAAAAGGCGGGGCTTCACTGTGGTGCAGGAACTGAGGGGCGGGGCCTCTAGGGGCGGAGTTTCAGTGAGGGGCAGTCTCAGTTCCATGAGGGGCGGGGCCTCCATGAGGGGCGGGGCTTCAGTGAGGAGCAGTCGCAGTTCCCTGATGGGCGGGGGCATCAGCAAGAGGCGAGGCCTCTTTGAGGGGCGGGGCCTCCACAAGGGGCGGGATCCTAGAAAGGGGCGGAGTCTAGTTTTGAGGGATCCGCGTGGGGCCAGGTGGGTTTGAGGTTTAGGCCTCTATTTCCCGTGCGGTGCTTGGGACTGGCCCAGCCCAGCCCCCTCCCTTCCCGCCTTAGGCCCAGGAGAAATTGACCGAATCCAACCAGAAGCTGGGGCTGCTGCGCGAGGCGCTGGAGCGGAGGCTGGGGGAGCTGCCCGCCGACCACCCCAAGGGGCGGCTGCTGCGGGAAGAGCTCGCCGTGGCCTCGTCGGCCGCCTTCAGTGCGCTGCTGACTGGGCCCTTCCCCGCCATGCACTACAGCACCCTGTGCAAGCCCGCGCCGCTCACAGGTGGGCCTGGCCCTGCCCCTTCCCTGTCACCGCACCCTCTCATCCCTGACCCTCTCTCAGTCCAGCCAGCCCATGCACCCTGGGCTTCCCACCCTGCACTGCCTTCTGATTCTAGACTTTCCCCCACATCCCCACCTGTCCCCATCTGGCTCTTCTCTCATTATGCTTAGCCCCTGGCCCCACGTCCTTTTCCTAACCCTCAGGCTTGAGCCTCGAACCCCTGCCCCAGCTCACCACAAACCTCAGATCACCAAATCCTACTCCAGATGCCTACCCTATTCCTCTTTGCCAGGACTCTTGGCCTCTGTCCTGAACGTTTTTTCTGTCCTTAAGCCCCAGCATCCAGAGTCCCACCCCTACTCCTCGTCCTGCGTTCTCACATGCCCCACCCCTGCAGTTCTTTCTATTCACCCCCACTTGCTGATGTCAGCTTTTGCAATGCATCCCCTCCCCTCAGCCTGCCACCCACGTGGCCCCCCATGAGCCTGTCCCTCCTGCAGGGACCCTGGAGGTACGCGTGGTGGGCTGCAGGGACCTTCCAGAGACCATCCCCTGGAACCCGTCGCCCTCAGTGGGGGTGCCCGGCACCCCTGACAGCCGCACCCCCTTCCTGAGCCGCCCAGCTCGGGGCCTTTACAGCCGAAGTGGGAGTCTCAGTGGGCGGAGCAGCCTCAAGATGGAAGCAGACAACACAAGTGAGTGGGCACAGTAAGAGGGCTGGGGTCCGGCCCCACATCTGTAACACTTTATGTTGAGATGGGGTCTCTGCTATGTTTCCCAGGCTGGTTCCCAATTCCTGGTCAAAAGCGATCCTCCTGCCTTAGCCTCCTGCATAGCTGGAACTACAGGTGTGCCCAGGTTTTGTAACATTTTTAAGAAACAAATTATCAAAACAACAAAGAAAGCAAAACAAGGACTGGAGGTGTGGCTCAAAGCAATAGAGCCTTTGCAAGTGTGGAGCCTTGAGTTCAAACCCCAGCCCCACTGAAAACAAAACCAAAACAAAACATAAAGTCACAAGTGTTGGTGAGGATGTAGAGAAATTGGAACTTTTGTACAGAGTTGCTGGGAATATAGAGTGGTGCAGCCCCTGTGGAAAATAGTCCAATGATTGCTTAAAAAAATTAAACCTACCGCCAGGCATGGGGGTACACACCTGTAATCCCATCTACTAGGAGGAGAAGGAAGGAGAATCACGGTCTAAGACCAGCCTGAGCAAAAGTGCAAGACCCTATTTAAAAATGTATTAAAAACCAAAAGGCCTAGTTGTGGCTCAAGTGGTAGAGCACTTAACCTAGTATATGTGAGGCCCTGGGGGGGGGAATTAAATTGAACATAGAATTACCATATGATGCAGGCATTCTGCTCATGGATGTACATCCAAAAGACTTGAAAGCAAGATCTTGAAGATACATTTGCACACCCATGTTCACAGCAGTCTTATTCACAATAGCCCAAAGGGGAAAGTCACCCAGCGTCCATTGATGAATGAATAGATGAACAACATGTACTCTATCATACAATGGAATAGGATTCAGCCTTTGAAAAGAAGGAAATCCTGTCCCATGCTGCAACATCAGTAAACCTTGGGGACAATATACTAAGTGAAAGAGGACAGTCACAAAAAAGACAAATACTGAGCCAGGTGTGGTGATGCATGCCTGTAGTCCCAGGACTTGGGAGGGCTGAGGCAAGTGGGTTGTGAGTTTGAGGCCAGCCTGAGCAAATAGTTCCTGAGACCCCCATCTCCAAAATAACCAGAGCAAAATGGGATGGAGGTGTGCCTCAAATAATAGACTGCCTGCTTTGCAAGTATGAAGCCCTGAGTTCAAACTCCAGTCCCACCAAAACATATGTTTGTTTATTTCACATACACCTTAAAACACATAGCCTGAGGGTAATTTTGTACAATATTTTTAACCATTCTGTGCTCAAAACCAAGTGTCATGATACGAGATTTTCCATTTGTAGTGTCTCATTGGATTTTGGTTTCCAGATGAGGGACACTCACCCTTTATACTAACTAGTTCCCCGTTAATGGACATGGACAGAAGCCATCACAGAAAAAATACACACGTGCATCTCTTGCTGTATACCTGTATGCACTTTTTTTTTGAGATATGTTTTTCTGTGGTGCCAGGCTGGGCTTGAACTTGAGATTCTTCCAGGTTCAGCTGTGATTACAGGCATGCACCACCACACCTGGCTGCATGCATTTTTCTAGGATAAATACTTAGGAGTAGATTGCTGCAATTTCCATATAAAGTAAAAGTGAGAGAGTTGGGATGTAGCTCATTGGTAGAGCACTTGCCTAGCATGCATGAGGCCCTGGGTTTGATACCCATGCCTGCAAAAGGTAGAATAGAAAGAACAGAAAATTGGATCCCAGCCAGACACTGCCGGCTCACACCTGTAATCCTAGCTACTTGGGAGGCTGAAATAGGGAGGATCATGGTATGAGGCCAGCCTGAGCAAATAGTTCTTCAGACCCCATCTCCAAAATAATAAGACAAAACATACTGGAGGTGTGACTCAAGCAGAAGAGCACCTGCTTTGCGAGTGGGAAGCCCTGAGTTCAAACCCCAGTCCCACCAAAAGAAAAGAAAAGAAATTGGATCCCTACTTCACACCATATGGAAAAAAGCCAGTTATTTGCATTGAAGATTTTTTTTAAAGAAGGAAGGATTTATTTCAGTTCACAGTTTCAGAGGTTTCAGTCCATAGGGTAGGGATGGGGGGTGGCACAGCAGCTCACATCATGACAGACAGGAAACAGAAAGAGAGCTGCATTGAAGATTTTAACATCAAAGGTAACTTTTAGCTTTTCTGAGATAGTGTAGCAGAGCTTTCAGGTATGTGGGGTTTCTGTAAGAAGACACGGGAGACCGTCCCTACCATTTCCTGGCTATCTCCTCCTGGTTCCAGGCGAGGTCAGCACGGTGCTGAAGCTGGATAACACAGTAGTAGGACAGACATCCTGGAAGCCATGTGGCCTCAACACTTGGGACCAGAGCTTCACCTTGGAGCTGGAGAGGGTGAGCTATGGGGTGGGGGGCATGGCTGGGATTCGAGGGGGAGGAGGGGTTCTGGGCGTTGGACACCCCAAGTGATAGCCTTGTTCTCCCTGAAGGCGCGGGAGCTGGAGTTGGCTGTGTTCTGGAGGGACCAGCGGGGCCTTTGTGCCCTCAAATTCCTGAAGTTGGAGGATTTCTTGGACAACGAGAGACACGAGGTGCAGCTGGACCTGGAGCCCCAGGGCTGCCTGCTGGCCGAGGTACAGCCTGACCCCTGACCCTGTAAAATCCTCCCTGCCTCCCCACCCCCATTTTCCAGAAGGAGAAGATGTGTTTGTGATGGGCCTCTGAACCTTGATGGATGAGGTCGGGAGCACTCAGGGTGTATGGCTATAGACTCTGAACTTAAAAGAAGAGTACATTTAATTAATTACTCACCTGAGTAACGGTATAAGCTGTGATTGACTTTATTCTGCAGTGACATAGCCATACTTTGCATAAAGGTATTTTAGTCAGTGGCAAACCACGTATACAATGGTGATCTCCTGAGATTATATATAATATCATACAGTGATGGTGTACTTTTAGCTTACGTAAGTACATTCTGTGATGTTTGCACAACGGTGCAATCACCTAAGAATGCATTTCTTAGAATGTGTTCCTGTTAAAAGATGCATGCATGCACTGGAAGGAAGGAAGTAGGGAGGGAGGGAGGGAAGGAGGGAAGAAGGAAGGAAGGAAGGAAGGAGCCAGGTGCTATAGCTTATGCCTGTAATCCTAGCTACTTGAGAGGCTGAGATCAGGAGGACCACAGTTCAATGCCAGCCTAGGCAAATAACAGTACATCTCCAAAGTAACCAGAGCAAAATGGACTGAAGGTGTGGCTCAAGGGGTAGAGTGCCTGCCTGAAGCCCTGAGTTCAAACCCCAGTCCTGCCAAAAAAAAAGAATGAAAAAAGAACTCAGGAAAATGTGCGGCTTAGAGGGAAGGGAGTGGTGTGATAACAAGCAGTAAATTTCTGCCCAGTATAATAATAAGAAGAAGCTGGGTGTGGTGGCTCACGGCTATAATCCTAGCTACTCTGGAGATCAGAAAGGTGGTGTTCAGAGGCCATGCTGGGTAAAAGTTAACAAGACCCTATTTCAGTCAATAAAAGCTGGCCATGGTGGTGCGTGTCTGTCAACCCAGGTGTACCAGAAGGGTAAATAGGAAGATACAGTCTAGGCCAGTGCAGGCATAAATGTGACACCCTACTTGAAAAATAATGAAAGTAAAAAAGGCCGGGGGCGTGGCTCAAGTGGTAGAGCGTCTGCCTAGCAAGTATGAGGCCCTGAGTTCAAACCCCAGTACCACCTCCCCCCACAAAAGCAATCATAAAATTTTGTCAAGCTAAGAACAAAAGCTGGTGATTTGCCTTGGAGGCCACTATCAGAGCTCCAGTAGGTTAGAGAGAGATTCCTCCTGCAGTTCTAAGCTGGGGGAGCTGGACCGTGCTCCCTGGGAGCTGGACCATGGTCCCTGGTGGGGCCATCCATCCTGTGCTCTGCAGGATGTTGACAACTGCTCCACCCACAGGACACCAGTGACACCTCCAACCTCCTCCCTCCCAGACTGACAGTGGACAAAGTCCCCAGGCCAGTGTCCCTTGGTTGAGAATCCTGGGACAAAACAGCCCTCGCTGAGCACTGCTGTCATGAGCGGTTGTACCCAGTGCCTCCAGGTGTGGATCCGTTCATTCTCATGGCAGTCCAGGAAAGAGGGATGTTGAGCCCTTGGACTTTCCCGACAGAGGAAGGAGCTCAGAGAGAAGGAGGCAAAGTCACTGGCTGCCTCTCTGAGCCAAATTAACCCCCAAAATTGTTTTGGTTTGATGGTAGAGCACTTGCTGAGCCTGTGCAAAGGCCCCAGGTTCCGTCCCCAGCACCACAAAGAAAATCAGTGTCAACCAAAAGCCTAGTGGAGGAACAATGGGTGGCCCGAAGGGCTGATTTGGAAGAGTTCTTGCTTTTAGAAAATCTGCATCCCACAGAACTCTGGCTCTGTCGTGGCTGAGCCAGCATAGCTCAGTTCTACTGTTCATGGAAAGTTCTCTTTGGATCTTATTATGTAGCAGCCCTCAAACTCCAATCCTCCTGCCTCAGTCTCCTCAGGGCTGGGGTTACAGGCGTGCACCGCCTTGCCCGGCTGCATGGGATGCTGTCTTTCTCAAGAGTGGCCAGTGTGATGGGGTGAACCAGAGCCTCCAATTTGCCAGGAAAGTGCTCTACCACTTGAGCCGTGCCTCCAGTCCTTTTGTTTGAGACACTAAATTTGTCCAGGCTGTCCCCAAACCGTAATCTTCCTGCCTCTGCCTCCCAAGTAGCTGGGATTACAGGCAAGTACTACCACCCTCAGCTCCTGAATTTCAATTTCATCCATATGGGATGCTGTGGTTCTGGACCTCAGCACCTTCTAGACATTGTGTTATAGCTGGGAGGATTAAACTAGTCCATGGGTACGCTGCATGGGTGACCCTGGCGTCACAGGAGTGGAGAGGGTGGAGACTTCTGAAGCACAGCCTTGGTTATTCAGTAGTCCAAGAAGGTGGCCTGAGTATCTGTATCTCTAGCAAATTCCCAGGTACATTAAATGGCTTTCTGACACTGTAACAAAATCCCTGAGACAAGGTGAAAAGAAGAAAGGTTTGTTTTGGCTCACAGTTTCAGTCCATGGTAATTTGGCCCCATTACTTTGAGCCAGTGGTATCACAGTACATCGTGGCCTGGTGTACATGGTGGGAGAGATAAAGAGAGAGAAAGGGGTGGGGCTCCCAGCATCCCCATCTGAGGCCATGCCCCTGGTGACCTCACTTCTGCCTAGGCCCCACCTCTTACAGGCTGCACCACCTTCCAATAGCATCATAGGCTGGTGACCAAGCCTTTAACATGGGGGACATCCCAGATCCAAACTTGGGCACTAGGTAATAATACCATGCCGATGGCCTGAAATAAATTGTGGGGAATCAGGGAGGAAGATGGAGGACCTGTTTGTGGGATTTCCATGCCAGTCTTGCTGGGTCAGACCCCTTCCCACCTACAGGGTGGGCCTGGTTGTTTGCTTCTTGCTTTTACAAGAAGGAGAGGCAAGCAGTGGGTGGACTAGTGACCTCTTCACTGTCAGTCACCTTTCTGTGGCTGTGACAAAATACCTGAGGAAATCAACTTTCAAGAAGAAAGGTTCATTGTAGCTCATGGGTTCAGAGGTCTCAGTCCATCATTAACCTGCCCCATGTGTCTGGGCCTGTGTGAGGCACAGCATCATGGTGGAGAGTGTATGCTGGAGCAGAGCTGAGCTGTTTGTGTCATGGTGACTGGGAAGGAGAGAGGGAGAGAGAGAAAAAGAAGGAGAGGGAGAAAGAATGAGAGACAGCGAGAAGGAGAAAGAGGAGAGAAGGAAGATAGAGAAAGAGAGAGAAGAAAGAAAGGGAGAGAGGAGAGAAGAAAAGGGGGAGAGGAAGGAGGCAGACAAGGAGGAAGAGAAGGATGAAAGGAGGACGCAGTGTCCCCTTCACTGAACCTAGTGACCTCTTCCTGCACCCACGTCCCCCTCAAGGTTCCCACCTCCACCCATTAAGCTAGGAGCCCATCCCTGTGTTAATCAGTGATCCCATCAGTGGAATAATCCGTTCACCAGCTCAGAGCCCTGGAGATCTGTCCTGTCCCTGAGGTCCCGCCTCTGAGCACTGCTGCACTGGGTCGAAGCCTTCCAGATGTGAGCCTTGGGAACATTCCAGACCCAAACCATGGCCCCTTCCTGCATGGCACAGTACTCTGGGGTTGGGTGTAACCCTAGGACACGTGGAACCCCAGAACACTGGGGTATGCATGGCTTGGTGTCCGTGTCTCGCTGAGCCTCCCGAAGGGGCGCCAGGGTCCTCAACTTGGGTCCCCGCCCTCAGGTCACTTTCCGCAACCCTGTCATCGAGAGGATCCCTCGGCTCCGAAGGCAGAAGAAAATTTTCTCCAAGCAGCAAGGTGAGGGGACATGTGGAACGGGTGGAGGCCAGGTACGCCACAGGGCCAAGGACGGAGGGTGACACCTGCCCTGTCGCACTACAGGGAAAGCTTTCCAGCGTGCCAGGCAGATGAACATCGACGTGGCCACGTGGGTGCGGCTCCTGAGAAGGTTGATCCCCAACGCCACAGCCACGGGCACCTTCAGCCCTGGACCGGCTCCAGGCTCCGAGTCCCGGACCACAGGGTGAGGGGCGGGGCACTGGGGTCCGGCTGTCCCTCCTTACTTCCCAGGGTGCTGGGTCCTCACGCACCCTCCTCTGCTCTCCCCCAGGGACATACCCATGGAAAAGCTGAACCTCGGAACTGATGTGGACAGCTCACCCCAGAAGAGCCCAGTGGGGCCTCTTTCCAGCCTGGTGAGTGTTTGTCTCCTCTCTCCCCCTAAGCCCCGCTCTATTCAGAGACCGCCAGGAACTTCCCTTAGGGTCACACAGCATGTCCAGCACAGCTGGACCAGGTTTTCTATCCTGATTAAAATAAGAGCTTGGGGCTCAGCAGTAGAGCGCTTACCTAGCATGTGCAAGGGCCCTGGGTTCCATCCCCAGCACCGCAGAAAAAGAAGAAAAGAGAAAAAAAGGCCTTGCTCCGTATCTCCTGGCTATGTTCTAGGAACAGTGCCCCTTTTCACAGACACTGGAATATGAGTGCCACATATTCATAGATTATGAAATATTCATTTTCTTTTTCCCAACCATTTAAAAATGTGAAAACCATTCATTTTTAGCACTTGCAGATTGTACAAACTCAGGCTAGCCTGCCAGGCGGCCTTGGCCAGCACCTAGGCTGGGTGACACAGGTGTAAGAGGTGGTCTCAGCCCACCTCACCAAAGTCTTTTCTTCTTTTCTCTTCTCTCTCTTTTTCCTCTGTCTCTCTCTCTCTGGGAAAGGGGTTTGAACTCAGGGCTTTGCATCTGCAAAGCAGGTGCTCTACCACTTGAGCCACACCTCCAGTCCTCCTCTCTTTTGGGACAGAGACTCACTATATGGCCCAGGCTGGCCCTGAACTCCTGGGCTTAAGCAATCCTTCTGCCTCAGCCTCCTGAGTATCTGGGACTACAGGCACACATCACAATACCCTGACCAAATGCATTTTATACCTCATTTAAGAAAACAGAAGCCAGGCTTGGTGGTTCACACCTGTAACCCCAGCACTTGGAAGGATCAGACAGGAGGATTGCTTGAGCCTGGGAGTTCCAGGCCAGCCTGAGCTACAGAGGAGATCTTGTCTTAAAAAAAAAAAATAATCAGAGCATATTGCTAATAAAAATGTGTAAATATGCAGGGCTGGTGGCTCATGCCTGGAATCGTAGCTACTCAGGAGGCAGAGATCAGGAGGATTGTGGTTCAAAGTTAGCCTGAGCAAATAGTTCATGAGACCCTATCTTGAAAAAAACCTGTCACAAAAAAGGGCTGGTGAAGTGCCTCAAGATGTAGGCCCTGAGTTCAAACCTCAGTACCGCAAAAAAAGTGGAAATGTTAAAAACTGAAAAAGAAACTATTAGTAAGTATTTCCTGGCATGAAATTAAATGAGACACCTCATTAAGTTACATAATTTTGGCAAAACATTCAAGAGATTCTTAACACTGACTTCTGGGAAGGATGTGGGGACACAGACACTTGGGGGAGGCGTGTGAGTTCATATGTCTCCTTGGGACATCCCCACAGCTGGCTGAGTTAAAAACAAACATTGTGGCGGGGCACTGGTGGCTCACGCCTGTAATCCTCAGGATGCAGAGATCAGGAGGATCAAGGTTCGAGGCCAGCTCAGGCAAATGGTTCTAGAGACCTATCTTGAAAACCCCCAACACACACACACACACACACACACACACACACACGGCTAAAAACAATAAATAAAATAGATGAGATATATTTGGAATATAAAATGTGCTGGGAGGATAAAGCAGAGGATGTTGGAAGAATTCAGTTGTTTAACACAGTAGTCAGCTGGCCACTTGCATAGGGACATTTGAGTACAGGAGGGAGGAGTCATGTAAATGAGGGGGCGGGGCCACCCTGGAAGACAGCTGTGCAGAGGTCCTGGGGTAATGTGCCTGGGGCTTAGCAGGCACAGTAGGGGAACAGTGTGGCTGGAAGGACGTGAGGGAGAGACAAGTGGAAGGAGAGGTGAGGACACAGAGGTGGAAAGGCAGCTGATCAGGCCCCTGGATGCTCTCTGGTTACTGGGAACCTGACACCCCTCCCTTTTCACTCTCCTCTCCTCTCTCTGTCACAGGGTTCCCCAATCCAGGAATCCATCACCATTCCCGAGCTGCCTTCAGAGACCCAGGAGACCCCAGGCCCCACTCTGTGCAGGTGACGCTTCTGCCCAGTCCCCTGACTCTCCCTGTCCCCTCCGCCTTCTCTGCCCCCATAGCTGTCAGTGCTGTCTCTCCGCAGCCCTCTGAAGAAGTCACCCCTGACCCTGGAGGATTTTAAGTTCTTGGCGGTGCTGGGCCGGGGTCACTTTGGGAAGGTAAGGTGGGGCACCTAGTGGGAGGGGCTGAGAGTCCAGAATCCCGGGTCCCAGGCTGGCCACCTAGGCCAACTCCACCTACTGCTGTTCCAGGTGCTACTCTCTGAATTCCGAAGCAGTGGGGAGCTGTTTGCCATCAAAGCTCTGAAGAAAGGGGACATTGTGGCCCGAGATGAGGTGGAGAGGTGAGGACCCTCCTGACCCTCTGAGGACCTCTGGCTTCTCTTCTAGGAGATAGGAGACAGAGCAGGCCTCTTTTGGGAACTTCAATGACTGTGGCTCAGAATTGTCCCTGGAACTTGTTAGCCTCCTATGTAAGGTACTAATTACGTAGAAAGCAGTTCTCAGCACTTCGTTTGCGTGTGTCCCCTACTCTATCCACACAGTGAATACTGCTATTATCTCCATTCTGCTGATGGAACAGAGAAGTGGAGCAATTTGCCCAAAGTCACACAGCTAGCAGTCAGCAGGTGCAGGACTCAAACCTAGGGACTCTGAATTGTCTCGGCTTTGGGTTCAGGGCCCTGGGTTCAAATCCCACCTTTGCCAGATGTGCTTGGAGATCTTCAGAGGATGGTGCCTCCCTATTGAACCCAGTTTCCTGATCTATCAGATGGGCGTACCTATTCCTTCTTCATAGGGTTATGGGGTGGTTAAGGACAAAGACCCATCTAAAGTACTCCTCACAGTATTTGATCCCTACAGACGATCAGGACAGGGATTGTCCCCCAGCTTCCCAACAGCCTTTTAATAATTATGACCCTAACTCAGAAAGGCATAAACAAAGAAAGGAATTTATTGGTCTGAATGAGAAAAGTCCCGGGATCTGCTGCCTTCAGGCATGGCTGTATCCAGGTGCCCCAATGACATTCCCCACTTCTGAGTTCCTCTGAACCAGTTGTGCTTGGAGTCACCTTGTGGCAGCAGAGATACCTTTCAACTCCTAAGTGTCAAACTCATCCACCAGCCTTAGCCCCTGTTGCTTCATAATTTCAGTGAAAATCCCTGTATTTAGCCCTGTTGACTTGCCCAGGCCCTAATCAAGAGATGGTGTGCTCCACTGGGTCTGGGCCCAGCAGTGTCCACCCCTGGTGATTCCCCAGAGAGAGGTCAAGGGGCTGTTACTAGGATGATGCATGGATTCTGGGTGCCCATTTAGCAGACGAGGTGCCACGGATCAGAGATGTTAAGCAACTTGCACAAAATTGCACAGTGATGCGAGGCCCTCCACAGACAGATGTTTGTGGTGTGAGGACTCTGGGGAGCCTGGGAGTCAGGGGGAGGGGCAGCCCTGGTCTCTGACCTCTGCCCCCCCTTCTGTGGGTGCCCAGCCTGATGTGTGAGAAGCGGATCTTGGCGGCAGTGACCAGCGCGGGCCACCCCTTCCTGGTGAACCTGTTTGGCTGCTTCCAGACACCGGAGCACGTGTGCTTCGTGATGGAGTACTCGGCCGGCGGGGACCTCATGCTGCACATCCACAGCGACGTGTTCTCTGAGCCCCGCGCCGTGTGAGCCTCAGGCCTCGCCTGCTGGAGTTTTGGGGGGGTCGGGGGCTGGGGCTCCTGTGACCCGCGCGCCTCTCTTTGCAGCTTCTACTCGGCCTGCGTGGTGCTGGGGTTGCAGTTTCTCCACGAGCACAAGATCGTCTACAGGTGCGCGAGGGTGCGGGTGCGGCCCAGGGGAGGGGCGTGGCTTCTGCGGGGGCGTGGCCGGTGCAGGCGGGGTCCGCTTTGGGGGCGTGGCTCGGCGAGGGGCGTCGTGGTCTAGGCTCTGCGCGGGGCCCAGACCCAGCCTCCATCACGCCCTTCCCCAGGGACCTGAAGTTGGACAACCTTCTGCTGGACACCGAGGGCTACGTCAAGATCGCAGACTTTGGCCTCTGCAAGGAGGGTGAGGGGCTGCAGTCGTAAAGGGCTGGAAGTGGGGTTCTGACAAAAGACGGGGGCATGGAGTTCCCAGCCCCACCCGGACCCGGGACGACCTTGCTGGCCCATCCCGTGCTGGGCTCCCTTCCATCACTCCACGTTCACATGCCCTGGTCTTGCTCTCCTCCAGGGATGGGCTACGGGGACCGGACCAGCACCTTCTGCGGGACCCCGGAGTTCCTGGCACCTGAGGTGCTGACGGACACGTCGTACACGCGTGCCGTGGACTGGTGGGGGCTGGGCGTGCTGCTGTACGAGATGCTGGTGGGCGAGGTGAGGCCCGGGCTACCCCTGCCTCGCCTGGAACGCGGTTGTGCCTAGGTGGGGGTTGGAAATCTTCACCTCTGTGCGCTGTAAAATGGGGCACTTACCTTCTTGTGGAAGCCAGCCCGAGCAGGGGGGCTGAGGGTGGTGGAGTGGCCCATAGAGGGACCTCATTCACCCTGGCTGTCTCTGTCCCCAGTCCCCGTTCCCTGGGGACGATGAGGAGGAGGTATTCGACAGCATCGTCAACGACGAGGTTCGCTACCCTCGCTTCCTGTCGGCTGAAGCCATAGGCGTCATGCGGAGGGTGAGAACCCCCCCTACCCCCCAGTGCAGGGTGGGCCCAGGGCAGGGGCTTTGGGGACAGAAAATAGATCCTCACTTGTCACCCCCTCCCCTAGCTGCTGCGGAGGAACCCAGAGCGGAGGTTGGGGTCCACTGAGCGAGATGCAGAAGATGTGAAAAAACAGCCCTTCTTCAGGGTGAGGGTCCCCACGAGCATCTGCCACCCCCCAATGCCTGGTCCTTCCTGACTCGTGGCCAACTCACTTCCTACCCAAGGCCTAGTCCCTTCATCCAAGGGCAGCGGTGGCCCCCACCAGGCCTTGCCGTTCCCCCCAACATTGCCACAGCCTGCTCTGCACCCTCATTTCCTTCCACTGTCCCTTTGTCTCCTCCCCCTGTAGGTCCACTTCACTCCAGAATGGCCTGGGTGAGCCCAGACCCCCTTGATTCTTCCTGAGTTCCCAGTCGCCCTCCACCCCGCGCCCCATTTATATGCTGATCCCACAGACCCACCTGTCCCCCCAGCCTTCACCTGCCCCTCAACCTCCTATCCTGACCATATCTATCCCCTCTTCCCCAGACCCTAGGCTGGGATGCGCTCCTGGCCCGGCGCCTGCCCCCACCCTTCGTGCCTAAGCTTTCCGGGCGCACTGACATCAGTAACTTCGACGAGGAATTCACGGGGGAGGCCCCCACGCTGAGCCCACCCCGCGATGCGCGGCCCCTCACGGCCACCGAGCAGGCGGCCTTCCGGGACTTCGACTTCGTGGCCGGGGGCTGTTAGCCCCCTCCCCTGCCCTGTCCCACCCTGCCCCTGTCCCGCCAGAGCTCTTAATTTTTAAAAAGGCTTTTGGGGTTCGCCCACCCGTGCATCCTCTGTCTCTTCTTGTGCGCAGTAATGGGGTATGAGAAGTGATCGATGGGGATGGGAGCTCATTTGGAAAGGATCCGAGGAGGGTGGGGACTCGGGGCTGTCACAGTGGCTGGGAGCATGGGCAAGCCGCGATAGGAGGGCACTCGGAGTTGTGATCGGGGGCTGTTGGGGGTCCGGGCGATGATGGGACACAGTTTGGGCGCAAGGTGTTGGGGGAGCCCAGGGCCGTAATGAGAATGGTTCCAAGAGTCCGTCGTGGCGGATGCCGCGCAGGACGCACACCCCAAACCCTCTCCGTCTGCTCCCCGCTCAGTTGCGGCCGCGGCGCTATGTCATGCCCTGTGGCGCCGGCTCTGTGGTCTGTGTGTCCTGGACGGTGTGTCCGCGCCCTCGCGTGGCCAGCCTCCGAGCTGCCCTGGCTTGGGAGACGCACGCGGCTCCTCTGCCGCCCCCGTGCGGCCGGGCTGTGTGCTGCAGCCCTGACGGGACCCACCGTCCCCGGCTTGCAAAAAATGGCCCCAAAGTCTCTGCGCCACGCACTTGCGCCCGACCCAGGATGACTGGCTGAGCCTTACGGACCGTTCAGAAGTGGCTGAGGCCACTGTGTTGGGAGCTGCGCAGTGAGCTGGCCTCCCAGGCGCTCTTGCTTAGGCCCAGCTCCGTGGGGCTGCCCTTAGCACCGGCCCTTGGGGGCAGGAGGCGAAGCAATTGGCGCAGCACAGCCTGGCGCAGCAGGATGTATACCCAGGGGTCCAGGATCTGGTTCCAAGAGGCAAGGCGCACGGCCAGAAATAGTGGCTGCTGCAAGCTGCTGGAGCTCCAGCCCCCTATGGCCAGCACCACCAAGACCTGCGAGGAAAGAGGAGGTGAGAGGCGGGGCGCGGGCAAGGGAAGGGGCTGGGCTGGGTGGGGCGTGGCTGGCAGGTTAGGAAGTTGGGGCGACTGGGCGTCTTACCAAGGGCAAATGGGGTTGTATGCTGGAAGACGGTATGGAAGGAGGATGAGGAAGCAAAGGTCTCGGGGCCCCTCTGGCCAGACGGGAGCAGCCCAAGGACAGGACAGAAGGAGAGAAGACAAAAGGTACGGGGAAGGAGAAGGCTAGAGAATGGGTGGGCTGGAGAAGAGGCTTGTGAGGGTGGGGTGGTTTACAAAGCCCCCCCAAGAACGACGGAGGTATAGGTGGGCGCCGTGGGACTCTGAGGCAGAAGGATGGCGAGTTCCAGGCCAGCCTGGGCTCCCTGGGCGGGGGGGTGCAGATGAGGGGAAGGACGGGACACCAGAGGGAGAAGGCAAAAGAAGGGTTGGCTCCTCTGGCAGAATGGGCCTGGAGAGGGCGCACTGGCTGGGCAAGGGCGACAGGTGGCCTAGGTCGGGAGCGGGAGGGAGCGTGGCCCGAGGGGCGGCTCCGCCCCTCACCAGCAGCGGGCTCCAGCAGATGCACGACACCACCATGATGCCCACGAGCTGGCCCACCATCTCCACGTCGTGGGCGCGGGTTCTTCGCGCTGAGCCGGCGCCCCGGGAGCCGCGGAGGGCGGCGGAGGCCGAAGCGATGGACGAGGCGGACGAGGCGGAGGCCGAGCGTTGTCCCCGCGATCCCCAGCGTCGCCGGCTGCTGTCGGGGCCGGATGTCTGGGGGAGACGTCGGGAGCGGCTGCGCCTCCAGCGGGCGCGCAGCAGAGCCAGGCCGCTGAGCGTGTTGCAAACGAGCGCGGCGAGAAGCGCGGCCAGGCCGAGGCCGGCGAAGAGACCGGCGAGCAGCGCCTGTCGCCAGCCGCCTGGTGGCCCGAGGCCGATGAAGCACCAGGTGCCCGGGTACTGCAGCTCGTAACGGCCCACGCGCGCCAGCGGCAGCAGCGCCACGGCCAAGGCCACGGCGGCCAGCGCGGCCAGCACCAG